TTCTGGACATGTTTAATAGCAAAAAGTAAAAAATATTGTTTTTTCTCAAAATTGTCTTTTTTTGTTTATAGTTCAAAAAATTAAAAAAACTCAGAGGCGATCAAATACCGCTGAAAGAAAGCTCTATTTGTGGGAAAAAAGGAAGTAAATTTAATTTGGGTGCAGCATTGCATGACCGCGCAATTGTCAGTTAAAGTAACACAGCGCTGTATCGCAAAAAAATGGCCTGGTCAGTAAGGGGATTAAATCCTCTGGAGGGCAAGTGGTTAACAACACTGAAAATGACTTTTTGAATTACCATATTAAAGCATATATGAGATTTTAGTGATTGGGTTCACATCTTCTTTTAAACATCTCCAGCACCTCTGTTCAAATTAGTGTCTCCAACAGAGATGACTACATACACAAATCCAAGTACCAGCCACAAATGAGATCTCCTTAAAAAAGAAGAGATGACAGGTTAGCAGTGCTGGTACATAAATGTGTGCCTATAATGATCATTAAGGAGCGCTGTTATGGCACCTTATGGATGATCTGTTGTCATCATCACAAGCAGATGTAACATAAAGTAACTAAAGGAATAATAGCACTGTATTACCGGGCAGCTGTTATCATCAATAATGCGGTTACTATATTTATAGCGGCGCAAAATGGAAACTATTAAATGTATCAGTTTTGACGTTTCCGTGGCTCTGATTGTTAAATGTTTCATGGCAAAAGCTGCTACCATAGTGACAGGGAAATGTCCCCATCTCTGCCCGCCCCTCTCCATTAGTGCTAGCTGGCTGGAAGGAGCATCACCCTGGACGTTGCCTTATCATCCTCCTCATCATCAGTAGCAGTTTGGTATGCTCAGCACGTCTGCTCATCACTCCCTCCTCTCTATCCAGCTGTCACAGCATACAGCATGCCTGGATCTGCCATCCCTCTAATAGGTAACTACTGCCTTTGTATAGGAAGAGCAGAAAGCAGACCCATGCTTTAGAAGTAGTACACATCTACTTTATGCATCATGATTTGCATGATTGTTTATACAATTGATATATAATATTGCTGTATGTAATGGAAAAAGAGTTCTGACGTCCACCCTTACAAAATATGAATTGCACTTTAAGACCGGGTTCACACTAATGCGGTGCGGGAAATGCTGTGAATCCAGTGCGTTTGCCGCACCGCATTGCATTCTCATGGCGTTCATGTGATCTGGTGCAGATGTCAAGGTCGATTGATAGTACATATCTACTTTATGCATCATGATTCGCATAATTGTTTTTATACAATGTATATATAACATTGCTGTTTGTAATGGAAAAAGTGTTCTGACTTCCTCCCTTACAAAATATGAATTGCACTTTAAGACCGGGTTCACACTAATGCGGTGCGGGAAACGCTGTGAATTCAGTGCGTTTGCCGCACCACATTGCATTCCCATGGTGTTCATGTGATCTGGTGCAGGTGTCAAGGTCGATTGAATTGATAGTACATATCTACTTTATGCATCAGGATTTGCATAATTGTTTTTATACAATGTATATATAATATTGCTGTATATAATGGAAAAAGTGTTCTGACTTCCTCCCTTACAAAATTTGAATTGCACTTTAAGACCGGTTTCACACTAATGCGGTGCAGGAAACGCTGTAAATCCTGTGCATTTCCCGCACCGCATTGCATTCTCATGGTGTTCATGTGATCTGGTGCAGGTGTCAAAGTCGATTGATAGTACATATCTACTTTATGCATCATGATTCGCATAATTGTTTTTACACATAGTATATATAACATTGCTGTTTGTAATGGAAAAAGTGTTCTGACTTCCTCTCTTACAAAATATGAATTGCACTTTAAGACCGGGTTCACACTAATGCGGTGCAGGAAATGCTGTGAATCCTGTGTGTTTCCCACACCGCATTGCATTCTCATGGCGTTCATGTGATCTGGTGCAGGTGTCAAGGTTGATTGATAGTACATATCTTCTTTATGCATCATGATTTGCATAATTGTTTTTATACAATGTATATATAATATTGCTGTATGTAATGGAAAAAGTGTTCTGACTTCCTCCCTTACAAAATATGAATTGCACTTTAAGACCGGGTTCACACTAATGCGGTGCGGGAAACTCTGCGAATCCTGTGAGTTTCCCGCACCTCATTGCATTCTCATGGTGTTCATGCGATATGGTGCAGGTAATCAAATAATAAATGTACATAAATCTTGCTCTGTGACAATACCTAAATACTGTATAAGTGCATATTCTGTGCTCAGAACGTATCGCTTTAAATTAAACACAATAACGCACAATTCCTCATACTGCCCATAATAACCATGCGTTATCTGAATCCTATCCACTGTACATTTATCTAATAACAGTGTCCCAATATAAATAAATGTTGGTGAACCATCCCTTTAAGACTCAGTGCTCCAAGTGCTACTGTGCAATCTCTCCTCTGTATACAATAATCCAGTGATTTCGTGTGACCCCCAGTGTTAGATCCACCTCTGACACACTTATGCGCTCACCTTGTGGATTGACCCGAACCGTCAGGTCAAACCGCGCCTTTCCCTTTAACCCAGGCGGGTTTGCTGGTGTATCAATCTCCAACTCCTCCTGCACCTCCAAACTCTAAAATGCACCACTTGAAAGTTGACCAAAACCCTCAGGTCAAAAGCGCGCCTTTCCCTTTAACCCAGGCGGGTTTGCTGGTATATATTATTTCCAACTCCTCCTGCACCTCCAAACTCCAAAACGCACCACAAAAAATGGAAAAATGCTCCAGATGGTGAAGTATAACAAACCAGTATAAACTTCATTAAAACTCTTAAAATCGTCCACTCACATTTGTTTGTGTCCTCCTGGGACACTACAGGATCAAGAACTCTTTGTATAGTGATTCTGTGAATGTAACTGCATTGGATCCCCTATCCAAGACGGCAGTACGTATACTTCTTGTTATAGCTTGACGTCATCAGCTGCCCTGCGCGTTACGTCACGACATGTGACTTCATCAGGACCACCATCTTGGATAGGGGATCCAATGCAGTTCTGAGCACAGATTATGCACTTATACAGTCTTTAAGTATTGACACAGAGCAAGCTTTATGTACATTCATTATTTGATTATATAGTATTACACTTCATTTTTGTATATTATTATTTGTGGGAACACTGTATATGTTAGCTGCAATATTTGATTATATTGATTTGGATAGGCATAGTGCGCTGTTTGTTTTCACATAATGATCTGGTGCAGGTGTCAATATCAAATTAATGACACTCCGAAACAGATCACAAAACAAAGTGTGATTGCCAGAAATCACATTGCAATAGTGAGAACACCCATACAATGCGATTCAGGTGTTGGTAAATAAGGATCTTGCACCTTTTTGGTGCAGATGAGATACAATTTGAGCCATACAAAATGTATGGCTCAAATCACATGGCACAGACATCACATGTAATTTGCAATGGAATGCTGTGCGATTCCTGTGCAAATGACTTGCATTGTCCAACATCAAATTAGTGTAAACCCGGTTTAAAGGGCTCATTCACACCATGGGGTTGATTTATTAAAGGTAAATATACAGTACTATGCACTGCAAGTGCAGCTACTTTATATCCGAGGGGAAGCTCTGAAATGAGGGGAAGCTCTGCTGATTTCTTTCATCCAATCACGCGCAAGCAAAAATGCATTTTTTTTTAAAATTTTCCTTGTATGTTCCCCATCAGATCTAGAGCAACTGCACTTTCAGTGCACTCGCAGGGCACAGCCTATTTGCCTTTAGTATATCAACCCCCATATCTTGCTGAGCTGCGTTGATTTGCATAGATTTACACAGGCTCGACACAAGGGCACATAGAAAACTATTTTTTTATGTGCCCTGTTCAAACAATAACTCTACATTTGGTGGGTGTGTTGCAGTGCATAAAAATGCAGACAAGCCACTTTGGGGTTTATTTACTAAAGCTGGAGAGTGGAAAATAAGACTCCCTTCTGCATAGAAACCAATCAGCTTCCAGGTTTTATTGCCAAAGCTTAATTGAACAAGCTGAAGTTAGAAGCTGATTGGTTTTTATGCAGAAGGGAGTCTGATTTTGGACTCTCCAGCTTTAGTAAATAAACCACTTCATGTCAGGGGCGGACTGACCATTTGGAAACTTGGGCACCGCCCGAGGGCCCGGGGTCAGTAGGGGGCCCCATGAGATGCCCCTGGTACCTTTTTCATAGGCTTTTTTGAGTTTGGGCAAGGACACAGGGGCCCCATGATCCCCTATTGCCCGGGGGCCCCATGAGTTGTCAGTCCGCCCCTGCTTGATGTCATCACATCTCATTGCACTGTAGCTCCACTGCAGTGCACAGAAGTAAATGATATATCATGTGTGACATTTCAATATAGTTTAAAAAGAAAAGGTCAAAAGTGCTTTATGTTGAACCTCTTGGCATCCACATAACACATATGTGTGGGATTTAAAAAAAGAAGTATGGGGATTTGTTTTTCCCCCCAATCATACTTCCCTAGGTGGATGCAGAATCGGTCCAATACTACATCTGTCCCCCGCCAGCTCTAAGTGTGAGAACTCAGCGATCACATGGCCACTGATCAATGAGTTCTCACAGTTGCTCCGAGCAGAGAGACTGTCTGCTGTCTGTCACTGCTGTGTGTTCTGCCACCCCCACGCTCATTGGAGCGCTGGGCTGTGGAGGGGGAGAAAGCAGCTGGCTCAGGCTCTCAGCAGATTCCTGAGTGGCTGAACCAGGTGCCACTCCAGATGCTAAGGTGGATCCCAACTTTAAAGTCAAGATCTTTCCCCAGCATGGATCGGCTGAGTGACATCAGCTGACAGCAGGCTTCAACCTGCTGTCAACTAAAAAAGGGTCACAGGCAGCTGCAGACTGACAACTCATGGGGCCCCCGGGCAATAGGGGATTATGGGGCAACCTGTGTCCTCACCCACACTCAAATCACACCCCAAAAAGCCTATGAAAGGTACCAGGGACATCTCATGGGGTCCCGTACTGACCCCGGGCCCTTGGGCAGTGCCCGAGTTCCCCAATGGTCAGTCTGCCCCTGATCACAGGGGTACAGAACGAACTGCACTCCTGTGATCCACAGGAGAATTACACCAAAAACAGCTTTGTACTTCTCCTTTAACACCCTCACATCACACATATGTGTCCATGGACAGCCAAGGTTTCTGTGATGAGAGTGTGCTTACTATGCAATACCAACATATAGACTGAGCTGTCATAGACAGCTCCCAGTCTCCAGTAATTATCAGGAGTCAGCAGGACAGTCTCCCAAACATGAGACTAGTGCGACAGCCAAACACAGTGATCACATAATCTGGCAGTCCAGCCTTCACCCCCCAGTGTAAAGACCACCTGTCTAGGATTCACCTGGGCAGTCCAGGGTTTGAATCATGTGCCCACGTTTCAAACCATTTTGAAACCTAAACACGTTATTGAGCCCTGACAGTGCAGTTGAAAGCTAAGAGTGTCTGTTACATTCTCTCTCACGCTGCCCAGATCCAACACAGTTCTCCCCAATCCTCCCCCTGCAGAGACAAGAAAGAAGAGAGAGAGCTGGATCTGCTCCTTCTCCTCCCTCCGCTCTCCTCCTGTGTCTGTCTGCCAACACTCCAATCCTGGCAGTGCTGTGCCTCAGAAAGAGGATGGGTGGGCAGGAAGTTTGAAGCCCAGCAGCAGCCAGCTACATGGTGGATGAAAGATGCCGATGGCTGAGCCTCCATCCTGGGTGAGTGGGCTCACTATTCATCCCCTGTCTGTGACTGAAGTCCCTCCCCTTCTCCCTCCTGCCTCTGAATCAGCACACTATTGTAAGGGGGCTCAGATGTAATGGGTGCTCTGCAGACGCAGATGTAATGGGGGCTTTTGTGAGAAGAGACCCCCTTACATCAGAGTCCACAGTGTTCCCACTTACATCAGAGTCCCCCTCCCTTTAAATCAGGGTTCCCAGAGCACCCCTTACATCAGAGTTCCCCTTTACATTAGAGACCACAAAGCTCCCCCTTACAGTGTAAGCAGAAATCATGCAGACTCAGATGTAAGGGGGGACTTTGCAGACTCTGATGTAAGGAGGACTCTGGGAACCCTGATTAAAGGGGAATGCTGGGAACTATGATATAAGTGGGGGCTCCGGGTCCCAGAGACCCCTTTACATCAGAGTTCACCTTTGCACCAGACTCTGCAGTGTTCCTTCTTACATCAGAATCACCACCTTTGAGTCATCCCCAAAGTTCTCCCCTGTACATCAGAGTCTGCAGAGTCCCCCCCCCCTTCTCTTACAGTGTAAGGGAACTCTGCTGATTCAGATATAAAGGGGAAACTGCAGATTCAGATGTAAGAGGAAACTCTGTGGATTCAGATGTAAAAGGGGGAATGCTACAGATTCAGATGTATAGGGGAACTCTGCAGCTTCATATATAAAGGGGGAACTCTGAAGCTGCAGATGTAAAGGGGGAACTCTGCAGCTTCAGATGTAAATGGAGAACTCTGCTGACTCTGATGAAAGGGGGTATTCTTGTGAAAAAAAAATGCTGTGTGCCGCTAAAGTGTTCGGGTTTGTCTTGAAGAAAATTAGGCAACCCTAGCAAAGACCCAGGGATGCCAACTCTGGGTGGGAAGAGGCTAAGAATGCAAAGCACTGCCCCTACTAATCAGACTCCAGCCCACAGACTAAAACGTCCTGCTATGAATGTGTACTGCTTTCCTGTCTGTGAAGGTGTAAAGCTCTTCCATCAATGAAAGTGTACATCTCGACTGTCTTTGAAGGTGTAAAACTCTCCTATCAATGATCAATGTCATTGGTTCAAATCCCAGCCACGGCACCTCCTGCCTGAAGTTTGCATGTTCTGCGTGGGTTTCCACCGGCTACTCCAGTTTCCTGCCACACTCCAAAGACATGCTGGTAGGTTAATTGGATCCTGTCTAAATTGGCCCTAATGTGTGAATGTAAGTTAGGGACCTTAGATTGTACGCCCCTTGAGGGTTAGGGACTGATGTGAATGTACAATATATATGTAAAGCGCTGCGTAAATTGACAGCACTATATAAGTACCTGGAATGAATAAATAAATAACTCTCCCCTCTATTAAAGTCTACAGCTCTTCTGTCTATAAAAGTGTACAACTTTTCCCTCTGTTAAAGTCTACAGCTCTTATGTCTATGAAAGTGTACAACTCTCCCTCTACTAAAGTCTACAGCTCTTCTGTCTATGAAAGTGTACAACTCTTCTCTTCATTAAAATCTACAGCTCTTCTGTCTATAAAAGTGTACAACTTTTCCCTCTGTTAAAGTCTACAGCTCTTATGTCTATGAAAGTGTACAACTCTCCCTCTACTAAAGTCTACAGCTCTTATGTCTATGAAAGTGTACAACTCTCCCTCTACTAAAGTCTACAGCTCTTCTGTCTATGAAAGTGTACAACTTTCCCTCTACTAAATTTTACAGCTCTTCGGTCTATGAAAGTCTATGAAAGTGTACAGCTCTCCCTTCTAATGTAGTCTGCAGCTCTTCTGTCTCTGAAAGTGTACAACTCTACCCTCTATTAAAGTCCACAGCTCTTCTGTCTATGAACATGTACAATTCTCCCTCTTCTGTCTATGAAAACACTGTATACAACTCCCCTCTACTAAAGTCTACAGCTCTTCTGTCTATGAAAGTGTACAACTCTCCCTCTACTAAAATCTACAGCTCTTTTATCTATGAAAGTGTACTTCTCTCCCCTCTATTAAAGTCTACATCTCTTCTGTCTATGAACATGTACAACTCTCCCTCTACTAAAGTCTACATCTCTTCTGTCTATGAAAGTGTACCACTCTCCCCTCTATTAAAGTCTACAGATCTTCTGTCTATGAACATATTAAAGTCTACAGCTCTTCTGTCTATTAAAGTGTGCAACTCTCCCCTCTATTAAAGTCTACAGCTTTTCTGTCTACGTATGAATGTCTATGAAAGTGTACAACTCTCCCCTCTAATATATTCTACAGCTCTTCTGTCTATGAAAGTGTACAACTCTCCCCTCTATTAAAGTCTACAGCTCTTCTGTCTATGAAAGTGTACAACTCTCCCCTCTAATATTGTCTACAGCTCTTCTGTCTATGAAAGTGTACAACTCTACCCTCTATTAAAGTCTACAGCTGCTCTGCCTATGAACATGTACAACTCTCTCTTTTCTGTCTATGATCCCTTAAGAAGTCCGGAAGTGATGAAACGCATCAGGAGACATGACGTCTGACGTAATTCTGCAAACCGGAAGTGGAGGAGCGGCCATTTTGACTATTGGAAAATCATGTATAACGTTCCTGGAAGCTGCTCAGGCTGAGTCATGGGAACTGATTGACGGTTTTTACTATCCCTAATGTAAGCATGTATATTAAATGTTTATTTATCCACTATATTGTGCTATATGGGCTTTTCTCTCTTATTGCATGAGGATGATGGAGTGATAAGGGCTTCCCTTAAGGATTGGAACCCCAAACACAGCATTCTGGAGTAAAAGTCTGAGAAGTAACTACAACACCTGAGTGTTCTCTGTTAAGGCTTGAAATTACTTTTGAGAGGGTAATTGTATGCATCTTTGCCATATAGAAGTGTTCACGGAGTGTTCACCTTTAATATACTTTATTTTTTCTTTTGCATATATTTTATTTTTTTATTTTCATTTAGTTGAGTTATTTATTTATTTTATTTTTGGTATATATATATATATATATATATATATATATATATATATATTTATTTTTGGTTTATGAGTGTACACTGTTTGCCACATTTATTTATTATTTATTTTATAGTGTACACAGAGTGATCTGACGATTCACGTGTTACTCACGTTTTTTGAATCTTGGTTTGTTTTTCCCGTATTTGTGATAAGTATATACTTATTGGTTGGTAAAGTATATACCGATGTTATTGAGGTAATACACTATTTTAGTTTTATTTTTTTTTTAGGTACTCACCTGATCTGGATTTATGGGAACATTAAAGTTGGACACAGAGGATTGATTTATTTTTGGACATCATTTATTATTTTATACGCATTGACTGACACAAAAAAGGTTTTATAATATTTTTATGTCCATCCTGCCTATGTTGTTGTACATCCCCTGCCTTTGTAGGTGTACATCTCTCCTGTCTACGAAGGTGTACATCGCCCCTGTCTATGAAGGTGTACATCTCTTCTGTCAATGACGATATCTAGCTCTCCAGTCTAGGAAAGTGTCCAGCCTTCCTGTCTCTGAAAGTCCTCCTCCCTTTGGAGGAGCCTACGTGCTGACGTTACGCTGCCACTTCCAGGTGATGGTCCGGTGGCCATCTTTGTGAGTGTTTTTTTTACCATTTTATGTATTGAGCTCCACGTGGTTTGCTTTTAAATTTTAATAAACATACTACACCATATGAGGTTGTTTCTGGGCTCGGCCTCTGAGTTTACCCTTTAAGAGGAACCCTACCCTGAACACTGTGGGCTGAATATGGAGCAAATTTATCCCTGAGCGGCAGTTTTGTTTCCTTCTGATTTGTTACTGGCTTCTGGAGAGATCCTACCCCTGGACAGACCTGCTGGCTAGAGTAGTAGAATCAAGCAAATCATCCCGCATATGTCAGTCCATTTCATGCTGGTTTGACACTTGCTTCTCCTGTTTTTGGGATTATTTATGATTGCACACTAATTTGTTTGTTTGTTATTGGCTTATATATTTTTTACGTGAGAGTCACAGTTGTCACTGACATGTATGTGCCTTTATTGGGTTAATCACATCATACATTTAGGACTATCATCAATTCCTCTTATCTGGGGATTTTCTATTATTGTACGTTGGTTTTTACGTTTATATTCATACCTATTGCTATCCATTCACTTTCTTCAGCACTGCACATTACTGTTATTATTTGTTTGGTGGAGACAAAGGGTTTGCCACGTTGTGCCAGCTGCTGGGTATATTTGTTTCTTGCACTCACTACCTATTTTTTACAACTGTAGTACCTTGATAGGTTGCCACCTGTGCAATAAGTCTGTGAAATTTCCCTGCTACTAAATATTCCACGATCAATTGTTAATGGTATTATAACGAAGTGGAAGCAACTGGGAACAACAGTATCTCAGCCACAAAGTGGTAAGCCACAAAAAATGACAGCGCTGGGGCAGTGCATGCAGAAATAGCCTTCTGTCTGCCTTCTGTCTGAGTCAATAGCTAAAGACCTTCAAACTTCTAGGGGGCTTCAGA